TTGACTTGTAAGGTCTCAATTAAACTTAATTTTTTTTTATATCAGAAATTAATTTGTTCATACAATCCAATCTCTGTAAATTATTTCGTATTGTTTTAAAGTGAGCAACAAGCGTGGACCTGAAAAGTTATCCCTGCGGAAATTAATTATTGATTTATGTTGAAACGGAATTCCATCTTTATCCAACTCCAACATACCAAATGATGACGGTTTTCCAAACACGCCTTTTCTACCCCGTGTGCAAATGTCATTTGTCAACTCAAATTCCGGCGTTTTTGGCACAGATGGACCTACGCTTTTACAAGGGTAAACGCCACGCTTCCTATTTGCAATCATGCCGTTTCAGATCTTTTCCCTTTGGCTGCAAAATGATTTCTTTTGTTTCACATTCTATGGATCCAAATTTGATTTAGATGATTTATTATTATTTTTTCGCTTGTTAAGTTATTCCACTGTCTTGATTCTAAGTTGATGTTTGAAGTTTATACTAACAAAATAAAATGAAGCATTTTCGAAGGTTTAAATACAGCCAACAAAATTTTTTCCTTTTTTAAGTCGGTGAGGTTAGAGATTTTATAGATCTCAGAAACCAGATCTAGAAGTCAGAATATATTTTTCTTTGAACTTGAAACAATTTTTATTAGATTTAGCTTTTCGAAAATATGCACACAGATTTATTAAATTGCAGTGATATTTTTCTGATGGTGGAAAATACTCTTGGAGTTCAATATTATAATTAAGTTTACTATTTTTTAAATCTATTTTATATTTATATATCTGTGTCATATTCAATGTACTTGTTGCTATTAGTGTAGATATTAGAATGAAATTATCCTTTTTATATATATATAAAAAAAAGTACAACCAGCGTTAATATTACCAAATTGGGACCCTACCTAAAAGAATTTTAGATTTTCTCAAACAAATAAATCTTATTCTCTTGTAGGACAAAATATCTTTAGAAAAAGTATTTTGGCAAGTGGATGACATTGGATGAATTATAAGTTGCAAAATGAAATTGCACCTACATGTAATTTGTTTGAAGGTTAAGTATATTTCTTAATGGTGATAATGGTTTATAGTAGTTTAAAATTATTACAATTTAAGGACTCAAAACACTTATTTCACCATCTAAAATAAATTTAATCTGAGGATACAATGTTCAAAATGGACTATAAAATCTCTCAAAATTTTTAATGGGTTTAAAACCATCAAGACTGTAAATTAACATGGCAAATGACTTTCTTTCAAGTGAAAAGACGTGCTAGCATGGGATATCAATGCTTCCAAGGAAGCATGGGATATAGGACAATTTAACCATCATCAACATCCAAGAATTTATCTTTACTTGAAAAAGTAGCAATTCTTCCCAACTGTACGTATGATCCAAAATAACACAAAAAATTTTACTTCACCATCTATATCTAATAGATTAAAGGGATAATTAGCCATTGGTTCTTTGCTTCTTGGCCTAAATCGGATTTGATAACTTCGATCAAGGGTTAGTGTTATTATTGGCTATAACCAAAAAGGGTCCCAAATTTGATAAAGATGTGGTACATTTGTGCAAGTACTAAGCAAATTACAAAGGCATTTATTTTATAGTTTTGTTGGATGATGTCTTTGGCACCACGCAAGATGGGTAGATGATGATCATTGGGTCCTTCATTCAATGGATTCTACCCAAAAATTACTTCTTCTATTTAAGTAATTTAATTAAGCTGTCTTTTTTGAAATTGCCATTCATGTGGGAAGCTATAAAAACTAAGACCATTTCAAAGTTGCCTTGCATGGGCCTTAACAGAATTGTATAGAGAAGCAAAAAAGAAAGATGTAATGTTAATTGAGATTAAGGTCCCATCTGTTTTTTTTTTTTTTTTTGGAGTTTTGATTATTTAATTATAAAGAATCAATGCATGTAGGGAAAAAAAAAAGAGAGAGTTTAGACCAGACCTAGTTTGGTAATTAAATCATGGAAGTAAATTGCCAATACAACTACTGGCTAATATTACATTTTGGCAAAAAAAAAAAAATTATGTAGTTTTCCATAATTTTAGTTTCATAATTGCATATTATGCATTACTTTTTGTTTTATCCTCCTCCTTTTTTTTTTTTTTTTTTTTGCTCTTATGTGGATTACTAAGAAATGAGCTTATTTTTTAATTAAATGCAGAAAGAGGAAGGCTATGTCATATCAAAATACATATATATCATACATTGAAGGGAGATATATAAAATTATCCTTTACAATAATTTACATAAAAGTTGTTCAATACTTTGGAAGAAAGGGGGCGAATTTCAATAGAACTTTGTCTTTGCTAGCCTTTATGCTAGCCAAACGTACCATAACATGGATGGAATGGAAGAAATGTATAGCCTTTAGCAATCAAAGTAGTGATATTGAATACTAAATCACTATACATGATCCAATAAATTCATAGAATCTAAAGCATTTGGAAGAGGGAGGAATAAAGTGAGGTTATAGATAGTGAATTTACAAAATACCCTTTTTTTAAAATTTCTTTCTTCCTACTTTTTGCTTTTTTTTTTTTTTAAAAAAAGAGGTTTGTGGGGATAGTTTTTCAGGCAACACTGTATAGTATTAGGGCTTTGGTTTCGAACTGTATCCACCATGAAGAGGGTATATTTGCTAAGCATGTGGCAGCAAAAATTTTATTGCTCAAATTCAGAACAAAGCATATGTTGCAATGATACGATTTTAGGCAAAGTACAATATCTAATTGCAGCAATATAATGACTATCACAATATTTTTATCCCGAATCTTATTCCATGTGGCCAGTGGCATACTTAAAAACTGAAAGTAATAGTTAGCAATGTTCTTCCACACAAAAATCGTTTTTTATTGGAATTTGGATTATTAAATTCAACAACTTATTATATAGACTTAGTCAATACATGTAAATACAGTTAATCTTATATGCACTAACAGTATATATAATATCACGGTTGGATGCATGACACATGAGTAAAATTTGAATTTTAAATTTAAATTTAGATGAATTGTTATGCATTCAGTAGTGACAATGTATAGATTGTGAGTGTATAGAAAATTAATATTCTATTAGACAATAAATTCTGTCATTTCTTAAAACCCTAGTAGCTTTCAATACATAACTCCTTGTGGGTTGAGTTTATATCAAAATTTTGACAACCCTTAGAAAAATAATTGAAGTAAACGAATTATCTTCTCCTTATTAATAAAATTCAGATTGACAAACATAATGATTTCCATGTTGTTTTAAATAAGCTTGAAAATTGAAAAAGCCTCGCCAACCAACCTGGATTGAACTGTTTGTTTCATTTAATTAGTTTGAGTGGCCTTCACAAGGGTGGCTGAGTTAGGGAGACCTTCAAATTATTAGTGCTACCACACACACAAAGAGTTTGTACTACCATAATGAATATTTTAGTACAAGTACGAATACTAATTTCAAATCAAAGCATGGAGTTCACAGATTCAACTAATTGGTACATCAAAATATCAAAATAAATAAACATTACATAAATACATTGTAAACACACACACACAAACACATGCATCAATTTTGTTTTTGCACTAAATTGCAAAAGACTTTGTTATTAGTACTGATATCTAGCTAATAAAAACAAACATTTTCTTGGACACTCCTATGTTTGTTTACAAAACCTCAACTAATACAATTTACATGCTTTTAACGGTCTTATGAATAACTAATTGTGAAATCAAGGATCAAGACGAGAAATTACTTCAGTAGATTTGTGGTAGGTAATACATGAGATTCAAGAAACGGATAAAAAAAGAGAGATTTGAATCTAAAACCTCTAGATCTTGGAACCTGTACCTTAATCACTAGACCAAGATTTTCACGACCAATATACATTACATTTACATATCGAAGAATGGCACAAGTAATTTAAGAGCTAATCCTGTCTGTGTTCATCAGTGCATAACTTGTTGTGGCTAGTATCTATTTCATGAATTGAATGAATCCCAAAACATGAAAAACATTATAAAAAAAGAAAAAGAATGGTCGGAGTGGCTGCAAATTGAAAAGGTATGCGGGAGAGCCAAGTTTTTCAAAAACCAGTACTGAATAATCTCATTCATATTAGTTCCTTGTAAAACGCACGGATCTGGAATATGAAAATACTAAACAAAAACAACTTTTTTGATTATTGACCAAAACACAAAAGAAAAAGAGAAGATAGACAGATATGATGAGCTCCAGCATCTGGCATCCTCATGGGTCCAGTACCTTACTTTGGGTGGGGGCCCATAAACCCATTTTCTTGGTTTGTGGGCCCCGTCATTTGATGCCCAAAAGGAGAAAAATACAGGGTGGAGCGGGCAGGGATTTGCAAAGCAAAAGGTGGTTTGGATCCAAAGTTATTAATTCTCTCACTTTCCGGGTTTCATTGCCTATTTGCCCAACCACTAATTGTTGTTTTTTTTTTTTTTATATTAATTGCATAAAAAAAACGCAACTTCTTTTTGATCTGCCCACAATATGCACTTTTGTTAATTAAACAAATGCTCCATTCTTAATTAGACTAATCTAAAGTATATCTTTTTTAGTTGTTGAATGTGGGATGGTTTGCAAATAATTTTTCTCAAAGATCACAAAAGATCAAGATGCTAGTAACCTTCGCATTTCACAATTGAATCAACCTAATTCTATTTTTTTTTTGTGATCACAAAATAATTGATCAATACATGCAAATTACATTCAACAACACCACAATATATAACCCATAAATCTTTATTAGAATAAACTCACATTTTGTAAATTTGACTCTAGAGCCTCTAATAGGTATGATTTTTTTTTCTTCCAAATTTTCCCAAGAATTAATATTCACTGATTTTTTTTCTCTCTAGCTTTTCTTTAATTTCTTTTAATTTCCAATCATGTCACTTCATTCTTTTCTATAGATTGAAGTCTTCTTTGGCTGTCTCTCTGTTCAAACCGCCCTTTCTTTCTTAGTCTAAAATAAATTCATCACTTTGATCAGTGTGAAAATGGCCCTGCTTTTGGAAACAAGGATGAAAATCAGATGCTTTCTGAGTTTTGTGATGGTTTTATCATAATGGAGGAAGAAGCAGAGAATCTTTCTGTTTCTCTGCCTATCTCCGAGTTGAAAGAAACAGAAGAAGCTGTGGAAAAGGAGGAAGAACTGATTGTTAAGGAAAATGAAAAAATTACCATGAAGGATAAATCTGTTCAGGTTTCTCTAGAAGAGGATGCCTCTGTCAAAATCCTGCCTCACCATTTGGAATTCTTTTTTGATTACACTGGTAATAAGTTAGTTCCAGTTGATATGATCGATTCAGCAACTGAGGAAGATCAGATGACTTACACAAATAAGGATGAGGATCAGACTCATGATGATATTCAAGAAGCAAATTTGGAGACTGAGGTGAACTGTAAGGATGACATTGAAATGGTTGTGGAAAATAAGTGCAGAGAATTGGGGTCGGAGGCAGCAATGTCTAGCTATAGAAGTGAAGAGGAGCCCAAGTACGCTATACTCGAATCTGTGGAAATGGAAGAGGATGAAAATTCTTGGGTTTTCCAAGCTGTTGAATCTCATTCACCAAGGGATGTGTTTGAACAATTTGAAGTTACAACTCCATCTCCAAAAACGGATGATTTTCCCGCAATGCTAGCAGCAGAAGAGGAAGACAAACACATTGATTTTCCTCCAGGTACTACTAATATGTTAACAGTCTTGAATGTGCTGTGAATTTCATCTTTCTATGACTTCATGTATTTTGTGTGTGGTTCAACTATACACATTCATTGAAATTATTTGCCCTTAAATGTAGCGTTTGAAGAAGTTTCTCAAGTGCAAGTTAATGAGACTGATGCAGAGGTCTCAATTGGTACTGAAATTCCTGATTTGGATGCAACAGACGATGTTCAACTTCAAGATACTATTAGTTCCTACGAATGTACACCCAAAGATCCTTCCTCAAGTTTGGCAATTATGCAAGTCGATTCTGACCATGGTAAGCTTTGATTAAAGTATATCCTACATTATTTGACAGCTAATTTCTTTGTTCGTTCATGTATTTTTTTATTTGACAAGGTGCTAATGAAATCCAAAACAAACTGTATTTTATTTAGGTACTGAGGAAGCTCTGGCATGGACAATAGAATTGCACACCTCGTCAGTTGATTTGAGTGAGCTAACAATGAGCAATCAATCATCATTTTGCCCAGATTTAAATGGGATTGAAGAAGATAAAGTTCCTGATACGCCGACCTCTGTTGACAGTTTGCATACTTTGCACAAGAAACTGCTGCTACTTGAAAAGAAGGATTCAGGAACTGAAGATTCTTTAGATGGAAGTGTCATCAGTGAATTTGAGTGCGGTGATGGTGTCATGACAAGTGAACGCCTGAAGACCGCACTAAAAGCTGAAAGAAAAGCTTTACAAGCTTTATATGCCGAATTAGAAGAAGAAAGAAGTGCTTCTGCAGTGGCTACTAATCAGACAATGGCAATGATAAACAGACTTCAGGAAGAAAAGGCACAAATGCAAATGGAAGCTTTGCAGTATCAAAGAATGATGGAAGAACAATCTGAATATGATCAAGAAGCTTTGCAACTTTTAAACGAGCTTATGGTAAAGAGGGAAAAGGAAAAGCAGGAGCTAGAGAAAGAACTGGAGATATGCAGGAGGAAAGTAATGGAATATGAGACAAAAGAAAGGATGAGACTGTTAAGAAAAAGCAAGGATGGAAGCGCTAGAAGTGGATTCTCCTCAACCTCATGCAGCAATGCTGAGGATAGTGATGAGTTGTCCATTGATCTGAATCAAGAAGCAAAGGAAGACGATAGCTATTATAGTCATCATGAGTGCAGTAATCACCACAACACTCCTGTGGATGCAGTTCTGAATCTGGAAGAATCTTTAGCTGATTTTGAGGAAGAGAGGCTGTCCATTCTAGAGCAACTAAAGGTTTTAGAAGCAAAGCTTGTGACGTTGGATGATGAAGATGAACAACGCTTTGAGGATGTTAGACCTCTAGAACATTTGCATGAAGAAAATGGAGTAAAAGGTCATGTAGATGGTGAAGTAAATGGCCATGTCAATGGATACTCAAAGGAAATGATCAATGGTAAACACCACCATGAAAGAAGAATTACCCCTATAAAAGGCAGGAGCCTTCTTCCTATTTTTGATGCAATCAGTGATGAAAATGGAGACGTGGAACTAAATGGAGATCTAAATGGTTTTGATCATCCTAATGGGGTGCATGATTTGGATATGAGAAATCTAGAAGTGGAAGACAAGAACGTGGCCATTGAGGAAGAGGTGGATCATCTGTATGAAAGGCTACAAGCTCTTGAAGCAGATAGGGAGTTCTTAAAACATTGCATAAGTTCCTTGAAGAAAGGTGACAAAGGAATGGATCTTCTTCAAGAAATACTACAACATCTTCGAGACTTGAGAAATGTTGAGCTTCGAGCTAGAAACTTCAGTGATGGCGCTATAGTATGAGATTGAACTTCGACATCATGCCAAAGAAGATGGTTGGTAATATTGCACCTTTAGCCCATACATGTCATTTTAAATTTTACTATCTTCTTTCATTGATACGTTGGTGAACACAAACATTTGTCTGATGTATTCTTTGTCCAATTTGTCAATGCATATCAGACAGCATTTCTGCGGTTCAGTTGCAGCAATGGACTTGCGATGGAAGAAGAAGTGCAGAGGATGATCCTCTGGTCATCATTGAGATAGCTGTATGAAATTCCAAAAAAATTTTGGGTCAGTCATAAGTGAAACTGTCATGGGAAGTCCCTTCAGTGGAAGAGGAGGCTCCTGGTATCAATGGTCTACATTTTGGAAATCTTGGTGGACAGGAAGTTGAAGTGTCTGCCTGAACTTTGTTCTTTTGTTTCCCCTGGTTATTGAGTCCATCAGTATACACCCAAATTTTTGTGGGGGGCGGTGTCCATCACCTCCTTTTGAGGGAAAGGGGGAAGATGAATGTATCTGTGTGTAGTCTAGTGAACGAGTCCGTCCTGTCATTTGTATTTTGTGAGGAAAAGTCCTGGCTTGCAAAGCTGGAGATATCCAACTAAAGATTCCAGTGCCAGGTGAGTAGGGCTAGATTATTTCTAGGCATTTAGGAGTAGCAAATCCTGCTTTTGTTTTTTTGTTTTCTTTCTTTTTTTTTCCAGTTTTAGTTTTATTATTTTCGAGGTAAGGGAAAGAGGAGTAAAAAACTTCCCTTTTCCTATCTCATCTTTGCATCGTTTCATCAAGAGGTTTGTTTATTATATGAAGGGCAAAGTTAGTAGTTGAATACTCTGTATCCACTTGTAAGTATATAAAATGAGTGTTTGAGTAAGTATATGTTTGTCTATAGCAAGAAGTTGTCAGCTGATATGGTGGAAACTTTGGTCAGCTCAGAATATAGGCTTATGGAGTCCCAAGCCAACATATATATATATCTTACTGTAGCACAAATTACCTTGTGAAATTCGCCCTAGTTAACATTCTAGTTCTAAACCAGATAAATTTTTCTGATTTATAGCATTCTTAACTATGGTCTGCTTATTCTTCATCGGTTTGACTTGTTACAAGACATGGTAGTACAGTAATAGTTAGATTTTGAAAAAAGGAAGCAAAAGAGTTGCTGTCACTATTGATTATGCTTTAAGCATAAACAACCTTTGTTAGGTATAGACTGAAAAGAACATGCAACTAAAAGCTCAATCACTAATCCCAAACCGCACAGAATAGTAAAATGGTTTTACAGCTAAGGCAGCATTTTAACAGAATGATTAAAGATGCAAGCTTTGCATATAGAAGATGCTAATGATTTCTTGTGATTATATTTTACGTGTAGTGACAGTGGAAAAAGCCTTATCTTTAGGAATATGTGAATATGTGATAGACAGCAACATAATATCAGACATTTCACGTACATGTTCTGCTAGCTGGCCATGTTTTGTCCTACCATTTGCTTTAGTATATCTTAAAGAAAGAAAAAACACATTTCTTTTGGTTGGGGAGGGGAATCAGGAATGGTGCCTGGTTGCTTTTACTAAATCAAATCCACCTCTTTCTTGAATCAAATGTACGAGTAGTGAACCCAAGAAAAATCGTTCTGTCAAATGAGCGATGTTCCTTGATGTTTTGTTCATGTACAACAGAAAAATGATCCCAAAAGGTTTATAGTACCATCAAATCATCAATGGCCCTCATTCTGGCCTCAACTTTCACTGCATGTAGTTTCTCCTTTTTCTCGTAAAAGGTACATGCATAAATTGGGGTGCACTATTTGATGAATTATCACGTCTTTTCACCCCTATCTTTGGTGTAGAATCACTAATAAATTGTGGCCATTGTTTGATGAATTACTATACCACTTTATGTGGGGTTTTTTCTTTTCTTTCCTTTTCTTCTTTTCCATCTTTAATTGATGTAGAATGTAACACTGTGTCTCATTCTGGTACCAAACTTGACATGATATATGTTAACCAATCAGTTCCTTTTTTGGCAATCTGCATGCCCTGTGCGTCACAGTTGGCTTGAGATGCAGATTATCCAAGCAAATTGTATACCACAAAGTTTTTTCTCAAAAACCCATCATGCGCAAAAGACTCCGCAAACAATTTTTTTTATAAAAAACAAATTTCATCAGCAGAAATCGTCCAACATGATTTAATCTACATCACTGATCTGATGGCATGTCAGTACTGCATGTTTCTTTTAGTTGATAATACTCATTAATCATTAAGGCTTTGATACGGATAATCCTCCTGTTGGCAACTTTGCTCCTTAAGCAACTCTGGAAACTTTCTGCTTAAACTTAACGAGGGAGCACTACCAGATAATTAAATCTGCATGAAACTGTACGACTGCATTATCTACAGCAAGGCTGCACATGGAGTCATGAAGGAGGGCAGTTCTCCACAGGCTACCGCCGTCTTGAAACAGTTTTTAATCCAATCATCATCGCGAGGGTAATCATTAGGGAATATGCTTTGCAAATCTAATGTTTAGCAGGAATTATGCACCCAATTGAGTTATTTAAGATAGTGTTTTAAATTCATACGTGATCATCTCTTTTGGTGGAGAAATCCTTCAGACTTTGTCGTGCCATTTTTAATCGCAACGGATCTTCTGTTCCATACCCTGTGCCACTCTCTGTCCCACTTTTTATTATATTGTTTTTTCTCCTACATAAACATCATGTTTTAATTCTTTTTTGTTTCCTTGAGATTCAATAACTATTAATTAAGTAAAAAATAAATACAACAACTTCAAAAAAGTAATATATAATAGAAAATTAAAAAATACAGCAGAAAATTCATAAAAAATCTCATTTTTTATGCATTTTGATTTTTTTGAGTTTGTTAAATCTCATAGAAAATTTTTTTAGGCAGCTTTGCTCTGTTCTGTTGTGAAATTTGTATTGGAAATTCAATCCAAGCGCTTATAATGCCAAAATAAATTTCAATTTTGTCCAGTTGGAAGCTGGGCTTCACTTATAATTAGTTGTTTCAATTCTTGAACTAAATTCCACAAAAAGTATCTTCTACAAAGAGTTATCCACCGCCTGGTTGGTCACTGAATCATTAAATTGCCTTAGTTCTAGTCACTAAAATTGTTTTGATCTAGAAAATTTAAATAACAACTCCATATGAATATTCTTTTTATTAAAAAAAAAAAAACTGTTTTTGACTGTGGAGTCTACAATAACAACTCCAAAAATACGCACAATCTCAAATATAACTTACAAAAATCAAAAAAAAAAATCTTCAAAGGTAAATTTTTTTTTTATTCCAACTATTCGAATCTGAATCATTTAGTTGCCAATATATGTAGATCTTAATGGGTTTTGCCTTTTTGAAGTCCAAAATGGGAAACGCGGGCTCTTTGGTCAATCTACGAGTTCAATGCTTCCGTGACTCGTCTCCTCACGTTTCTAGTTAAATGTCAGCGAAATTGCTAAATGGTGCTTGGTCAATATACGCATGTTCCATGGGCCATGGCATTGGGTTTGGTTCATTGGATTTGGTTTGAGATAATCCAATGGCTATATATTGTTTGTAAATGTGATCAGATGAATTTTTTGATGAATTTATCAACTTTCCAACTTAACCCAAAAAAAATACTTTCTCCAAACCTGTACAAAGAAGGAATGATTTCTTTACAATATTGGCATTCCATCGCAGAAAAAGTGTAACGCCAATCAATCTGATTTTTAACTATATACTTCATCCAACTATATAGATATCAAAGTTTTGCGAAATGAATCACCAGAATGATGAAATCAAACAAGCATCTCCATCAAGCCTTGCTTGGATTGCTGTTTTCCATAGAAAAATTTTGTCATTTTCCGTGAACACATTTCCCTATTAGCTTTTTTCCTCACATACATCAAATCGCTACAGTAATTTTTCCATGAAAAATGACGGAAAATGCAATCCAAACGGGACTCTCCAAATTTATACAAACAACGAAGAAACAAGTTTTGTTTATATTTTTTTTTAATGTAAGCAGGAGGTTTCGAACCTTGTTTAATTGAGACATGCATTGAATCAGTCTTAAACACGCTTATATTAGTTTGGCTGTCTAAAAATATGTTATGACCGAAAGCGTGAAGTCAATCTGAAACTACAATGGTAGCATCATGCTTCACCTAACCATATGCATTTCCACAATCATTAAATTTTTCAGGTTGAAAATGTCAAAACTTCCCTTGTGATGATGTTGGAGTTGTAATCAAAATCAAAAGCCAGCAAGGTGTAAAAGATAAGAAAATGTAGCCTAATATATTTACTGCACAGAAAGCTCCACAACCCTTTTTTTTTTTTTTTTGGTGTAAAAAATGAGCGTCACTTTTAATGTTTTTTTAACCAATGTTTACCCTTACTTCACTAGGCACAATGCTACTACCCAAAGAGAGTACTGCACTAAAAAACTTCCTACTATTTATGCATAACCGACCCAAAAAATTTTATTTTACGTAAAACTAATTCTCATTCATTTTCTTCAATAATAGAATCAAAAGCTTAGCAAGTGCACACACATCAAATGTGCCAGGATCACCTGTATATAATAGTGCACGAGAAGCTAAAGAACAACTGAAAAAAGAAAAGAAGAAAAGCTAAAGAACAACTAATTGAAACTTACATATAGTAGTGAATCTTAACTGTTGGAGCAATTTTTCTGAGTCTCAAAATTAACCATGTATACTCTCTAAATTCAGAATAAATAGCAACTTTCTCTAGTAAATGCTTAGTCATTTTTGCACTCACAATGTATAATGGGACCATTGTATCTACCCTCAAGGATCGCACCAGGCTGTAAACAACAGCACTTGTGCTTTTCTAGCCAGGATATGTTTGATTGGTTTAATACAAGCGCAGCCAGAGGACAAAATAGACTGGCGACTACCGCCAACATATTTCTACACCTAATAAGTGCTCTAGCGCTGGGCCATTGGGGTCTAAAGCAAACGCCAAAAATGTTGTAAGAGTACAAGTTTAATTCTAAGTCTTGGTGCCATTTCCTTCGAAAAGTCTTGGTGCCAGACACCAAAGCTAGCGTCTATAGCACTCATTTCATTTTCATACTCATGCATCATGTGTAGCACAGCATAATTGCCTAATGACTTGTTTATTTTAACTCCTTTTTTTTAAAATTTTTTTCAATAGGAAAGATATGAGATTTAAGAAGTTGAGGGAGAGGAACGGGGAATTAGAATTCAGGATTTTAATTTTTAGGATCTCAACTTTAATTACTAGATTAAAACTAACTCGACAACCGTAAATGACTAGCGTTAATGTTGCAGTATTTTTTTTTTTTTAAAAAAGAAAATAATAGATTTATCCTTTTCCATGTGAACATAGTCTTTCAATTAGTGGATAGTCTATTTGTCGTTTGAGAAGAAAATCGTTGCCGTGCTTCAAAGTTCCGATAATGACTCATTTACCCAAATGGACAGGTTAGTCACTTGTACAGCGACATTAGAGAGTAAACATAGAAAACCACGACAGACAAATTTTTTTTTTTTCCCTTATTTTCTGCGCAAAAGATAATAATTTCTATCTATTATTGTCTGAGGAAATTTTGGGGCAAAAGTGACATTTGGTCATTCAGTCAAGCTCTAAACACATTCCTTGTTCGCCATTCATGCACTCGACATTATTTGGTCAGCTTCAATGTCCTTATCCCATTCATTATCTCAATTATATTTCCCAATTTTCTCTTTCTCCAATTTTTAAAGTGCTGTCCTGTGCCTAAAATGACCATTAGGGCATGCGACGATTGTAAGGGCACCCAAGATTTAAAATTCTTTTATATTTTCTAAAATATTTTAAAATGTTCACATATGTGAT